TATTTTACAATATACATTATACGTATTATTACTTTTTCTTTTACTTTTAATAAATACAAATTATACTAATAAAATATACTAATAAAATCTTATAAAATATGTTAATAAAATCTACTAATATAACAATATATATAATCTTCAATATATAGTAATAGTAATAATACTATAGTATATACAATATATATATTAACAAATTATTATATTGTAGATAATTTACAAATATGTGATTTGAATGTTTATCTAAATAAAGAAGTTATAACTCATTGACAAATGCGAGATTTGCAAGGCTTGCATGAATAGGTTAGAAACTGATAAACTATATTTATTAAAAGTAAAAGAAAAAGTAATAATACGTATAATGTATATTGTAAAATACATACGTACATACGTATATAATAATAATATTAATATGAGTGTTGCTACGTAAAAGAAAACCCGAAAATTTAATTATAAGTCATATTTAAATTCTCGGGTTTTCTTTTAGCGACACTCATATACAGGATATACGAACGTACGTACGTATTATACTGTACGTATAAACGTATTCGAAAACGTATATTACGTAAAAAGTATGTGTACGCAGTAAGCATACGGTGTAAATGTATGTACGTATACAGAAATGCCGAAAATTTAATAAGTGATAAAATAAATTAATGTAAATGTAAATGTAAATGTAAATGTAAATGTAAATGATTGGTAATAAGAAATGTACGACGACTAATAAAAAAAAAAAGTAAAAAAGAAAGTAAAAAAGAAAGTGATACGTTAGATGCATGAGGGTTATTGTAAATTTACATATATATAGAAGTATTATTATAAATTTACATATATATAGAAGTATTATTATAATTTACATATACGTATATATATACACGTATATATAGAAGTATTATTATAATTTACATATATATTATATATACGTATATATAGAAAAAAAAATAGTAATACAGAATTATCCGAACCACGGTAGATCTAATAAGCAGTGCAACAATAAATAAATGATAAGACCGCCAGGATGAATAACAAGAAAGATGCATATTTCGCATATTTCAAGATAATTGTTTCCAGAACAAGACGACAAGAATAATTAAGAAACGGACATAAAATACAAGCAAAAAAAAAAAGGTTTATACGTAACAGGTTTAATAATAGGAAGAGATTCGCTCCAGTGAACCTGAAAATCCGAGGATCCAGGATCCGAGAATCAGACGGGTCAGGAAAAAGGTTATAGATAAAAGAGATAATACGTGAGAGATTCTAAATAAATACGTATAAATAATAAGAAAGTTATAAATACGTAAATAAGAAAAGATTTATAATTATTATAAAGAGATAACAAAAAAAATATATAAAAAAGGACAATTGGCAAGTCACTTGAACACGAATTGCAGTACACGAATTGCAGTAAAAGCGTAGACACTACTAGATCAATGAACGTAATAAAGAAACAGAAATCATAGTCATATGATAATTATGAAGAGAAACTTTAATCAGAAACAGATAACGATATTAGGACATTTTAAGGTTTTAACATTAATCAGCGGATCCATTAAGCATTAGTAATAGCTAATATCGATATGCGGATAATCACTTAATCACTTCTGTACGAGCCGATCTAAAATCTAAGAATTTCTAAAATTTAAAATAAAATTTCAAAAAAAAAAAAGATTTACGTACGTAGGTACGTACGTACGTACATACCTGATACGTACGTACGTATTTTCGTACGTACGAAATACGTGCGAAATACAGGCGAAAATTAACAAAATTAACAAAATTAAAAAAAATTAATGAAATTCAAATCATATTCAAATTGATAAAAAGTATTAAATATTAAAATTTAAAGATTATTATTGAATAAAGAATAAGAAGATTCACATATATTGATATATATTGATATATATTGATATATATTGATATATATTGATAGAAACTATATTCATTTAGGGAAAGTTGATTGTCATGGTGCATTGCAGATTCGCAAGAGAAAAGGACGGTTTCAAAATATGGCATTACTTTAAACAAATGTATATAATGTATATAAGAATTATTTATTTGATACGAATTATTTATTTGATATATGAATTATTTATTTGATATATGAATTATTTATTTGATATATGAATTATTTATTTGATATATGAATTATTTATTTAGTACGAATTATACAAATTATACAAATATTATATGAATATAATTTATACGAATTACTGAATGATACATATCGATATACAAATTACATATATAAGAATTATACAAATTAATTAAACGAATTACATATATAATAATTATACAAATTATAACGAATTACATATCGATATATGCACAGGTCGCCAATAACAAGAGAAGCTTACACAAAAACTGATAAAAAGCGATAAGTGTGGGATTTCTTTCGGTGATACAACGCCAGGATACAACACGCCAACCGGCTTATTTTCTATTTGTTTTCTTTTTTTCTTCCCATATATTAATTAATACGTATTACTTAGAAACTGTGAAACAGAAAACACGTATGTACGTACGTACGTACATATAATAAAAAAGCAGTGCTACCATTATCCTTATGTTACACTAAAAAATTATTTTACTGTATATATATACACATATATATACACATATATATTATATACACATATATATTATATACACATATATATACACATATATTATATATATAACATATTATATATTATCAAATTATCAAAAATATACTACGTACGTACATCTAAACTATCTAAACTGTTCGTTGTTCTATTATTGATCTACCTTTTGATTATTTTGATTAGCTCAAATATATCAATACGTGTACGTATCAATATATCATATATAATTGATAACATATATATATATATAAAGCGTTTATCTCCTCTTCTCACAAAAAAAAACAATTTCAATCTTTTTTAAAAATAATAAATTCATTGTTTCTCTCTTGTTATCGTGTTTATATTATTATATTCACGAAAATTTCAAGAGACACTTCATCAACAGACATATCAACATATCAACATATATCAACATATCAACATATCGAGAGACACTTTAAAGATACACTTAGTATCTCAAGATATATTCAAGAGACAACCGAAAGTTTATTGATCAAAACATATTGTCATAAAGTGTCAATTCTTCGTCCGCACATTAAATTTCCATTAAATTTCCATTATATTCATATTTTATTCATATTATATCGTATAACATATAACACTATTTAACATAACACTATCGTCGACAACATGTCAACCTTTGTTGTACCGCAAATTCGTCCAGACGTTCCTCGCTCTTATACTTATCCAACCACCACAACAAAACGTCGCCGAAAAGATACATTTGTTGAACGATTACTCAAGGATCCAATGCTTCAAACAATGGCCGATATTGGCAAACAAGAAGGTACAATCAGTCCGTTACCCGCACCACAGCGAGCTAGAACCATAAACAGTGTAGAATTTCAACAATATTATCGTCAAATTCAAGATGGAAATTTTGATCAATATATCAACTCTATTCAAAGCAAAATATAGTTGATCTATATTAGCAATCAATACTTTTCATATACCTGAACATTTTTTCATGTTACTATAATAATTTCTTTTATTTATCCAAGAGATATTGAATATATTGAGTGTGGTGCACATTTTCATTTTATGACTTACATAGACGATATACAGACGATACATGATATATATGAAACACAATACATTTTTTTTACAGTTACCGAAATCCATTTTTGCGAAAAAAAAAAAAAATTTTTTTCGTCTTTCGTTGTATATAAAATCTTTATTATTCGCTCCCTTTTTTCTTTTTTAATTTTTTTTTTTGACTTTTATTTTACAAAATCAAAGTTAATATTTACAAATATTACAATATTATCCAACTATTTTCTCTCGTTTAATAATTAATTATGTTGGGTGACGCGACAACTGTCACGTAAAATATACCCATTCTTATAGTCTTTGTCCACACAATGTGGAAATTTGTTTTTTTTTTTTAATTCTGCGATGTTATTTTTTTTTTTTAAAGAAAAAAAATAAAAAAATAAAAATAAAAAATAAAAAATAAAAATAAAATTTTAAATCATCAAAAAATTAATTATTTAGTTATTATCAATTATTATCAATTATTATCAAATTATTTATCAAATAATTTGGCAAATAATTTTTATCAAATAATAATCTTGAGAACTTTTCGTGACACGTTTTTCTTTTAATAAAAATGATTGGCTATATGGAATTATTTATAAAAAAAGAATAACGATGAAGTGTGGGTACAAGCATAAACATCCGCTTTACGTTGTGTAAGCCGAAAATAAGAGGCCTCATTTACGGGATTCCCAGTTGTCCTAACATGGGGTTGCAATATAGTGCAACGTTAACAAGCAAATAAAGTATATGGCTGTGACCACGCATACTAAGATACTAAGATACGTACAGTACTAAGATGATTACCAACATGATTACCAATTTGATTACCAATATGATTGATTGATTAACTGCGGGATGATAAAGTTTGATGTCGATGGAGACCAAAAAAGAAGTTAAAAATGAAACCAAAAATGAAATCATAAAATCCATATCTGATATCTTTTGAATATTATTACTTTCTATAAACGTTTTATCGGAATTTTTTTTAACTCGAAAACAATCATTTAAATTCATTCATTCATTCGTTTAGAGAATTATTATCATTATTGTTTCATATATTTCAATAACGTTTAATGAGAATACGAATGAATATATAGTGTGTTTTCTAAAATATCTAAAACATATAATTCTGTAATTAATAATATAATTAATAACATAAGTAAATAATATAATTAATTAATAATATAATTAATTATACGTATAAATAAACGATAGTAACGATAATAACGATAATGGTTTATGGTAAAATTTTCTTTGTAAGCATCCGCCAAAAAAATCTTCCCATTCACAAAGTACACACGTACATCATTGATTCTTATTTCGTATATTTTAAACAACCAGTAAAACAGGAATTTGATCACATGAAACACATATTATGATCTAAATAACGATTTTGATGATTTTTGATTATGATGTTAGAATTACCTTTACCAGTTTTATCTTAATACTAAGTTGGTAACAAATGCACACCGCGATCAATTAAATTCCCACCTACGCCTCTTATCTGTTAGTAATTTGTAATTGATTACTATTATATATACGTATATATACATATATATACGTATATATATGTTATATATATTATGATAAAATTTCATTTGATATCATTTATTTCGATCAACATCTCTGTTTAATGTTTAAAATACATTCAGTTTCAAATTAATTTTTTGATTTTCTCAAATATGCTAAATTTGTTATTAGATCTGTTATATACTATTAGATACGTACGTATGTATGTCTTATCTGCCAAATTATATTCATGATATTCATGATATTCATCATGATATTCATTTATATTCATTTATATTCATTTATATTTCATCATGATATTCATTTATATTTCATTTATATTCCTATTCAACTACGATCATTATATTCATTTATATTCCTATTCAACTACGATCATTATATTCACGATCATTATATTCAGCTAAATCATATTCAGCTAAATCATATTTAGCTAAATTACGTTCAACGATCAGTTAATTACCGTTACAGTTCAATTTAACCAATTGTCATTAATCCGTAAACACTTTCGCTATTGTGACTAGTACTACCAACATACACACACACACACACACACACACACACACACGTTCACAATTAAATTATGCTTGTTTATTCGGTGGTCATTACACAACATTAATATTTGTGGGGTTATTATTGTTTGAAAACCATGTATTTTATTTTTCTTTCTCCCTATTTCGTCTTATTTCGTTTGATTTCCTTTGATTTCTTTTTGATTTCACCTGACTTTGTTCTTAAGGAAATTTATGTCTTGTATTCCCATGGTACAAAAAATACAAAAATGAATATATTGCATATATTGCAATATATTGCATATTTGCATATGTTGCATACGTATACGTATTAAATTTACTACTTACCTAATTAAGTTATCTTAATGTTTACATATAATATTTTTCTTACAAACTTCCTTTTATACTATGACATTATGTTGTGGTCGTATAAAGGTCTATTTATTATAATTGCCTTAATAAACTTAAATGTTCATGTTATCATGTTAATAAAAACTCTATTACTATTGTGAACAATATTAAAGAACAATATCTTATACGTACTTAACGTTTTGTATACGTATAATTGTATATTTCACAATATTTTCATGTATATTTCATGTATATTTCATGTATATTTCATGTATATTTCATGTATATTTCATGTATATTTCATACGTATAAGTATACGTACATGTCAATTTTATGTAAAATTTCATATATATGTAGATTTCATTGTAATATTATATATATCTATCCATAACTGATTTAATCTGATCAAAATTGTTAAATTTCAAATTTTATCATTACCAGTTACCAGTTACGTACATACGTACGTACGTAAGTACGTAAATCCAACGATTCGTTCTATTTTCTTTTTAATAAGAATGTAACGTTAAAAAGTTAATAACCTTTATTAATCACCATGTGATCAATCATTAAAATTTTTTTTTGATAAAGTACGGACGACCAATTAAATTACTTTATAAAAAGTATATGATAAATGTCGATGTAATTTCTTTTACGTATAATCAACCAATGACCAATTAAATTACTTTATAAAAAGTATATGATAAATTCTTTTATAATCAACCAATAAAAAGTATCAACCAATAAAAAGTATTTTCTTGAGGCACGATTTTTCGAATTACAGATTAATGAATCTATATTAACAAGTCATTTTTCAAAGTATTAACATTAACTCATATATTTCAGTACTACATTTTCATATTCTCTTAATTACATGCATTAGTTTGTGTTAATCATATTATTTCGTTAATACCATTTACCCGCGTTTTCAAAATGTAGGGTGTAAGGGATGCAGATGAAACGTAATGATGTACCTTCATATGTGGTACTTGCGGTACTTGCGGTACTTGCGGTACTCATAGGTACGTACGCACGCACATATGTCCGTATGTACTAATATATGAGACGAATATACGTATGTACGAATATACGTACTGTACGAATATACGTACGTACGAATATACTTACGAGTACGTATTCACGTACGTACGTACGTACGAATACAATAAAATAAAAAGATTTATTCTTGCAACCGTTTACCTGCCAGATTTCTTGCCAAAGATTCCTAGAATATGCATATAATAAACAAACATTAGAAAGATAAAAAACAACATGTGTGATTAGGATAAATTTATTGGATTAACTCTGATAACCTTGTTTTTATTTTTATTATTTTTATTATGTATTTTTATCGTACTGTAATTTAAGGTTATTACTTAACATTAACAAATCTAAACAATCTATATATTTAAATTTCCCCTTACTTCATTGCATCCAAATAATTTGTTAATAATTATTATCGTTACGTATACTAACAGAACAAATTTAAAAAAAGAATGTTTGATTTGAAATTTGTTTATTTGATTATCAAAAAAAAAAAAAAAAAAAAAAAAATTTATAAAACCAATCTTGCAGATTTTGCAGATTTTACAGATTTTGCAGATATGTAAATAAATTTGTCTGCAAAGTTATCTCAAATTACCTATCGATTTTTATTGATGATTATATTGAATTGTCTTCATATTCACCACATGACCACATGACAGTTAAAAACTTCTACGTTTGTGCAAATCAAAAAAAAAACATTTACATTATTATATACTGTATTAATAATCATACTTAATAATCATTCCACCTTTTTAAGTGTGAATTACCCAGGAATTGCCGTATTATGCGATATTATGCACGTGACATTCATTTCATTTATTTTTTTGATTATTCGAAAATTCTCATGGAAAATTCTCATGGAAATCTTTTGGAAATCTCTTGGAAATCTCTTGAAATATTATCTTTACAAAACGTATCAATACAGTATAAACATAGTACAAATAATGTACTCTACCAATTCATGCTATACATACTATACATACTATACATACTATATACTGTAATACCATAATAATACCGGATCTAATCTAATAATACTAGTATTAGTATTGGCACCAGTCCGGGGTTTAGAACTGGCTAAATTGTATATCAATTTATATATCAATTTATATATCAATTTATATATCAATTTATATATCAATTTATTTGTATACGTAACAAATCCATACGTATACATTGGATTGTTCAGTTAATTGTTCATATAATTAATGGGCGACCAACTTGACCTGATCAGTTGACCCGAAACCTTTTACCGTTGAGATCATTGTAAGGTATAGCACAGTTTTTTTGATGTGACGTACGTGTGTGTATGTGCGTGCGTGCGTAATGTATACTTCCTATTAGGGATGTTA